TTCAACATGGATCACCTAACGCACAAAAACATCTTTATATATTCAAGAACATATAACATACTAGAAAATGACCCACGCGATGCGTGGGAATAATTTGAATATATATTATCGAAACATATATCTAAAACTATAGATGCAAGTAAAATAAACAACAAACTAAAACTATAATGCATTACATGAATTTTTTCCAATCATGTTCATTGTAAACAAAATTCAAAGCTAGGAAAACTACTAAATATTGACTTATCAGCAAATTATTTAAGGGTTCCCCGGCCGGTTTCATCCATCATAAACTGAGATATGGAGTTTCACTGTGATCATTTGTAGCGAATTCAAGACTCTCTATATGTATTGCCATCATCATTAGTTTATAGAAAACATGTTGCTTAAATTAGGTTTTTAGACAAAAAAGGGACGGTAACTGTCCGATGTGCTATAATAAATGGGCACAATGTTAGAAAACTATCATCACTCATTTTTATAAAAATGCTTGACATTCCAAATTAACTAACATGGTTGTAGATGTGTAGTATATATGGTAATATAAATTTTCATGGTTGACCTATTGGAGTATAAGAAACTTTGATTTTCACGTGACTAAACATGAAATATTTGTGTCAGAAATTTAGGAGAAGTTGGCTTAGGCAGTAAATAAAATTATATTAATTTTCTTATAATCAAATCGAGTGTGATCTTTCTAAGACAAAGTAAATAAACGGAAGATATCAAAGGTCTTCATCTATTCCACAAATTATATATTTTCTTGATTAATTAATTAGTAAAATTAGCATATAACAAAGTAGATGATAATTTGAAAACTTCACTTACCATAAGATTTATATATTATATTGAGGATTTAGTTTAATTCCAATATGAGAAGGAAAAACTATAACAATTGTCACTTTTTTCCAATTTTTTTCAAAATCTACCACAATTATCTCTACCTTTCCAATAATACTACATTTAGAAAGTTAAGTTACGTTTTTTTCCCTCACTTGTTGGGGCAGTTTTCGCGCCAAACGATGCAAACGATTTGACGTCTCTGCACAGTTTCGCTTTCTTATTTATCTCTCATCCCTCGAGACACGTGCGTTTTAACCGAGAAACATTATATCTCATGAGACTAAACAATTAACTTTCGTTTTTGTCTCCAGATCGTGTCTCCGATTAGAAATTCTCTTTTGCATCTAGATCTTGTCCCCAAGTTCATCATCTTGCTCTATTATCATGAGTCTCACATCTTGTCCACCAATTGTTCTCATTTAAGAGTTTTGAATTTTATTTAGATTTTTCACCATCTATTTTGGTCCACAGATTAGTTGAGCATTATTGTCTTCACCTACCCAGATTATTGAACTTTTTTTTCTTTATATTGTAGAATAACAGAAAGATCCAGTTGTCCCCGAGTAAATCCAGATCTCTGGCGGGCAAAATTACACCATCTGGCGATGGACAATCAAGAGAATTGGATGATAAAAATTATCACGCTCAATTTTTGATCTAATTATATTACTCATTCGATTTGAATTTGTCCCCGATCTAATGCTATTACTCATTCTATCTAAACTTATCTCCGATCTAATTCTATTACTCATTCGATATGAACTTGTCCCCGATCTAATTTTATTATTCATTCTATCTGAACTTGTCCCCGATATAATTCTATTACCCATTCGATCTGAACTTGTCATCGATCTAATTCTATTACTCATTCGATCTGAATTTGTCCCCGATCTAATTCTATTACTCATTATTACCCATTCGATCTGAACTTATCTCCGATCTAATTCTATTACTCATTCGATCTTAACTTGTCCCCGATATAACATATTATTTAAATAAAATTATATGCAATTGTAAACGTGCAACATTTATTGCAGCCTGCTTGCTCTTCTTCCGCCAGTGCCAACTTGTCCCTTTATCTGACACAGCAGTCTGTCACCATCAAGAGCAATTTCGTCCACAAATTCGCATTTGACAATGAAATGTGGTAGAATCAGAAAACAATTTCCGATTGTGGTAGATTTTGAATGCCACTTCTCAAAAAGTGGTACATTTTGCAAGATTCCCATATGAGAACATATTTTAAATCCCAAGTAATAATTTGATGAATATGATTTATAAATAATTCATGTAGTAGTTAGTTCACGTAACTATTAGTCTTTTGAATTAAAAAGGAAATTATTAGCATATGTAGTCATAATAGTCATAATTATAAATGGTAGTATTCATAATTAGCGCTTTTTAGAAAAATCGAATTTCCTAAGACATTCAATTTTTTTTCCTATATTTTGATGTTATTTGTTTACTTAAAATAATAGAAATTTTAGGTAAAGCAACTATATAAAATTTCGAAGTAGTTATTTAAAATATATGCGAGTTAAACATTATTAGGAGATAATTTATGCAATTTTTTTTTGTCGGCATAGCTGCAGATAATTTATGCAATTTATACTCTATTAATCAGAAAATTATTTATCAATAACAGGATGTAAAATATTTATTTAAAGTGAAAAAAGAAAAATAAGATAATAGGGCACATATCGCTAAAACAAATATATAAGAACATATTATATTGTCAATTGTCGACTTTAAAAAGATAGTAAAAAGAAAGATATATGTAAGATGTCGTAGTAATTGTTGAAAATTGTTAACTCAAACATGATTAAATATATTTTCTTCAATTTCTACTGCATCAATCAGAAAATAAAGTTATCAAAATAATTTATTTTAAAGAAAAAAGAACAAAAATAGAAAAAACAAATATGGCACATATCAGCAAAAAAAAAAGAGCTACTTTTATATATGTGTAGAATATCTTTTAAAAATGTTTCTATATGAGATATGAAATTGTATTTAGTGATTATGAAAAACTGGTCACCTATTTAAAATTTTGAGCTAAAATCAATTCATAATCAGATATAAATACAAATATTTTTAACAATATAGTTAGCATACACAAAACATTTATATATATTTGGAAACAAAACATTAAACTTATTTATTTTCTCATAGCAAAAAATAGAATTAAAATATATACAACATATCTTACCATCATAAACTTTAAACATATAACATTATGGATTGAAATCTACTTTTGCTTCCAAACTTAGAAAAATGACATTAAAAAATTATTTTTTAAAAAAAAGAAACAAAAAAAGATAGAAAAAACCATTAATTATATTAGTACATGATGTCATAGAATAACAATTGATGTTATACGAAAATTAGTCGTAGGTAATTTACCTTATAAAGTTGGTGACTTCTTATAATATAGGTTAGCGTTCTTCTTGAAATTCATCAACAAATAAAAACTGTTGATAACCACAAAAATATAATGACCTCACACATGAAGGTTCAAACTTGAGACAAATTGAATATAAAAAACTCTATAAGAAGATAAATACAAAATCATAAGAAACCACAAAATGTAATAATGGTTTCACACAAAATTGAAACAATTTGAACATTAAAAAACTCTATAAGAAAATAAATACAAAAACATAAGAAACCACAAAAATAATTTGATGTCAATTTAGTTCACTATAGAGTAAGTAGTGGTTGTAGTGGTAAGAGGTACTAAGCATAATTCGATTAAGGGTTAGAAACCCATAAAACCAAATTCAAAGATCAAATTAAAAGAAAGAGAGCATCATTATATAGTAATGTTGAGATTTGAGATTGGTGTGTAGTATTATTATTTTCTTTTCGTCGTGTACGGTATTGTGTTATTCTTATGATGATAAAATAAATGATACTCCTTCTGTTTTATATTACTTGCCGTTTAAGGTTTTTGCACGAAAAGTAAAAAAACAATTAAATTTTCTAATTTTTTTATTGGTCAAGACATTAGAACAGTGAGGATAAAATTAAAGTTTTACCAAACATCTGCATTTAAAAATCTAAAACGACAATTATTATAAAAAAAAAATTAAGTGCTAAAACGACAACTAAACTAAAACGGAGGGAGTAGTAAATTAGTATTTAAATGTAATTACCTCCAACATAAGAAAAAATATTAATTAGGCTATGGGAGCACAAATAATAGTTAATACTGTGTTGAATGACATTGAATAGAAAAAATAATTAATATACAATTTATATGATTTAGGTTACAATTTAGTATTAAAAGGTAGATTAATGTATATGATTAAATGTGTATATCTGTTATTTAATTAGAAATAAATAAATTTAATTTATTAATATACTCATTCTCTTTTTATTTTAGAAAATCCAATTCTTATGAGATTAGTAGTACTTTAAATATTGATAAACTATATATTAATAGTAGAACATTTATTCACTTTATTCTAATTAGAATGACATTTTAAAAAATGTAACAATCATGTCATGTGAATAATTTATATGAAAGTGAAGAGATAAAACAGAAAATAACCATAGGACAATATGATGTATGTAAGAGAAAAAAATAAAAATAAATCAAATATCTTTTGTCGTATATCCGTAAATTATGTTATCGTCAAATAATTTGATCTTTAATTTTACTATAAATTAGGTGAAGGAAACAAAGATAAAATGTAGGAAATATCTTTTTGTTCAAATATAACTTTTAATATTGTGGTTATTGTTCTCAAATTCAATAGAATAGACTTAATGCAATAAAAAATGACATGTGTCAGAAGAATAGAGCGCCAAATGTCAGATTCTTAGAACTTGTTTTGAGGAAACCTTGTCATATTATATAAGATATAAAGCTAGGGATGATATTGAACACATCTACACCTCCAAGTGGCTACAATCATGAATGAAAGTCAAGAAATCAAATCTAACTTATTCATTTTCAGTCGCTAGACGACATCACTGATTGGGACATGTTACGATCAGTTCTTTGGTTCCTTTTCTCATAAAAACTGTTTGGTCATCTTGCACGTAAGCTCTTAAGTCTTCATGTTTGTAATAATGCTTGGAGTGTGTGGAAAATAACGCAGACGGGATACATACCACTTTCACTAATTTTGTTCTGGAGCTATTTTTATCTCAAAATTACTTTATTTTTATTAATACAAATCTTATTTGAGAGTACATGTCACAGTAAACTCAATTACAAATTGTAGTTTGTTTGCCGCTAAGCTTTACAAGGAGAAAGTGGAGAACCGCAGAGACAGTCGTTTCCCGCAAACGCACTAGCCGGGAACTTTGTTGCCGGAAGCTTTCCGCAAAGATGGTTGTGACTCAAGTTCAGTGTCTCCAGTCCAGCTAGAGACGTTGGCACCGTCCCGAATACCAAGTTCCTTGACAGATCCAGGGTTTTCATCCTCTTTGAAAACGTCAACTTCCCCAAGTCAAATCGAAGTTTGTTCCCCGCCGCACGAAACTCCAGCAGAATTATCGTTTGGTTCAGGAACAATGCTGGACTCCCTGAGATCTCATTTTCGGACAGATCTATTACATCGTAGGCGAAGAGTGCAGCTGGTTTCCAATCGTCTAAGCTCATCTCGTTCCCGCATTTTGCTAGTTTTAACGAGTAGATAATCGGTAACATTGTTACCCATTTTGGAATCGTTTTCATGCGAAATTGGTTGTACGAGAGATCAAGAGATCATTCCATGCCTCTCACATTCAACGCAGGGGATGGACCGCTTAGAAGATTGTGGGAAAGATTGAGACTATATAATCTGGTTAGATTGGTGAAACTCTTCGGCACGACACCCGAGTACTGGTTCTTGGAGAGATCCAGTAAGGAGAGACACTCGAATCTCGATAAGTAGTCCGGGATCTTCCCTGATAGATTGTTCTGTTGTGTATCGACGTTGTATCTCCGGGACGTAACGAACGTGAACTTGGATAGAGATTGAATCGCGCACGTGAGCACTTTCCTTAAAGAGTATTTCGACCCTTCTCAAGCCTTGGGTTACACGAAATCCCTTCTAGGATAAGACAATCAAAGTTCTCTCTTGTTCTAGGCTAAGACACAAGAGAAACAAATAGAGCTTTTGTGTTTTGTTTTTGTGTTTTGCACTAAAGATTAAGACAATCTTTAGTCTCGTGAATCTCTCTTTTCTCCTCTTCCTTTCTCCCCTTATGACACAAGAGAAACAAAGTTTATATATGGTTCAAAAGTTGTGACGTACGTTTGCAACTGTACGTTTAAATAATAACCATAAATTGAATAGTTGCAATGGTTAATTAAATAACCGTCGGTTTACACTTAAATTTATAACATTCCTCCCCCATTTAAGTGTAATCTTTGATTCACAAAATTAACAACACATAAACCAAACTCATGCATAAATGTAAATATCGTAACGATTGAATTTACATCTTAGTAATATTACACATTCCAAATGCTCGAGAATCAGGATGTCCTACGGATTGAATCCTTCAACTCATTTTGAGCACATGAAGATAATACACACACGAATTCACTCACTACTCTAAGTGTTTATCCTAGACACTATTATAAGCCATGTGTCCTTATCCTTTCATGAGTGTGTACAAAGCCAAGTCCGAGCTTCTTGAAGCGGCTACACTTCACACCCATATAAGTAGATCTTTTAATCTTGCACCTGCAAAATGCAATTTTTCAAAAGATCTATTAAGAAGAAAACTTCAACCTAACCTTTTCTTGCAGATCTAAGCACTTACTTTGGGATGATTTAAACTAATGCTTCAATCTCTAAGTGTGGGCTTTCCGCATTGAATTCAGCCTCTAACGTTGTATTAGAGGGGAATTGGGTATCCCACCATTAGAGATTTCAAATGGACTTTAATCCCATCCCTTTAGCCGACTTGATCACCAAGTCTCTAGCTAGTCCTTTTGTCAAGTGATCCGCTAGATTTTGCTGAGACCGAATAAACTCTATAGTAATCACCCCATGAGTGATCAACTCACGTATCCCGCTATGTCTCAAGCCTAGGTGTCGCGACTTACCATTATACACTTGGCTATAGGCCTTAGCCAAAGTAGCTTGACTATCGCAATGGATAGAAATGGGTGACACCGGTTTCGGCCTCAATGGAATCTCGGAGACTAAGTGTCTTAACCATTCGGCATCTCTCCCTGCAGCCGCCAACGCTACAAATTCCGATTTCATAGTAGAGTTTGTAATACAAGTTTGTTTCTTTGATGCCCATGAAATGGCACCTCCCCCAAGTAGAAACACCCAACCACTTGTAGAAGAATGATTTTCCTCGTTGGTGTTCCAACTTGCATCCGAATATCCTTCTAAGACCGAAGGAAATCCAAAATATGACAAACCATAATTTCTGGTTCCTTTCAAGTACTTGGGCACCCGCCTTACAGCTTGCCAATGATGAGTACTAGGATTACTAGTGTATCTACTCAACATTCCTACCGCATAAGCTATATCCGGTCTAGTGCTAGTCATGGCATACATTAAGCAACCAATTACTCGTGAGTACTCGAGTTGTGATACCGCTTGTCCCGTATTAGGCATAAGCTTCACGCTCGCATCCATGAGAGTGCTCACGGGAGAAATTTTTTCATAATTGAACTTTTTAAGCACCTTCTCAATGTAATGTGATTGAGTTAAAGATATTCCTTTGTTCTCACGCTTGATTCGAATTCCAAGAATCACCTCCGCCTCCCCCATGTCTTTCATGGCAAAATTTGATGATAAGAGAACTCCTTTGTAAGTTCTACTTGTCTAAGGTTGATACCAAAGATCAACATGTCATCAACATATAAACAAATGATCACTCCATTACCGGAATCATCAAATTTGCTATACAAACACTTGTCCGACTGATTTAATTTAAACCCATTTGACAAGACAGCCTCGTCAAACCTTTGATGCCACTGTTTAGGTGCTTGCTTTAGACCATATAATGACTTTACCAACTTACACACCTTATGTTCATTACCAGGCATAACAAACCCTTCAGGTTGTTTCATATACACCTCTTCTTCCAAGACGCCATTTAAGAATGCCGTCTTGACATCCATTTGGTGGATCACAAGGTTATGAATGGATGCCAAACCAATTAATAACCTTATAGAGGAGATTCTAACAACCGGAGCATATGTATCAAAATAATCAATGCCTTCCTTTTGTCTAAAACCTTGAACAACCAACCGAGCCTTAAATTTGTCGATCGTTCCATCGACTTTCATCTTCTTCTTGAAGATCCATTTGCATCCTAAAGGCTTGCAACCGGGTGGAAGATCCGTTAAGAACCACGTATTATTTCCCATGATGGAATCCATTTCATTATTTACGGCTTCTTTCCAAAAAATAACGTCATTAGACGTCATAGCCTCACTAAAAGTTCTAGGTTCATCATCAATATGATAAAAATATGAGTATTGGAAACCAATCTCATCTCTTGACCCTTCAACTAAGTAAAGTTGAAAATCGGGACCGAAAGATTTTTCGATTCTCCCTCGTTTACTCTTACGAAGCGTAGGTGACTCGTTAGGAGGAACGAACATGTCGTCTCCTTCCTTTGTTCCACTTGAACTAGGAACTAAATACTTTGGTCTAGGTATCGACGAGAAACGATTCTCATCAAATATTGCATCTCTTGACTCAATTATGGTGTGAACCGCTATAGAATCATTAGGTTCTATGACATAAAACCTATATGCCTTGGAATGCAAGGCATAACCAATAAAGATGCAATCAATACCTCTTTCTCCCAAAGTCTTAATCTTTGGTTGGGGTAATCTAACGATCGCCCTACAGCCCCAAACTCGAAGATAGTTCAAGTTTGGTTTCTTTTTATACCAAAGTTCATATGGAGTAACTTTGTTCCTTTTGTTGGGAACTCTATTTAATAAATAACAAGCCGTTAACATGGCTTCACCCCAAAATCCGTCACTTAATCCCGAGTAAGATAACATGGAATTAACCATTTCTTTTAGAACTCTATTTTTCCTCTCGGATATACCATTTTGTTGTGGCGTATACGGAGCCGTAGTCTCATGTATTATGCCCACGGACTGAAAATACGTAGGATCATAATACTTCCCACCTCTATCGGTGCGTAACTTCTTAACCAAGTCACTATGTTGTAATTCAACCTCGGTTTTATAAACCTTGAATTTATCTAAGGCCTCATCTTTAGCATGCAATAAATACACATAACAAAAACGAGAATAATCATCTATGAACGTGATGAAATATTTCTTGTTTCCTAAAGATGGTGTAGCATGTAAGTCACATAAATCACTATGAATAAGTTCAAGCACCTTTGAATTTCTTTCAATGCTTTTAAAAGGTTGTCTAATTATCTTAGTCAACATGCATGTTCTACACTTCTCTATATTCACGTCAAAAGTAGGAATTAATCCTTCTTTAGACATATCAATCATTCTTTTATAATGCAGGTGGCCTAATCTTGCATGCCATAAAGAAGTATCATTTTTGCTAGAACATGCATTGTAAATAGAATTGACAACTTTATTAATATTAAGCATAAACATGCCATTACAAAAGTATCCAAATCCAACAAAGACACCACACTTAGATAAGACATACTTATCCGACTCATACACTTGTTTAAATCCACACTTATTTAAAACACTACCGGAGACAAAGTTTTTCCTAATTCCGGGTACATGAATTACATCATTAAGATCAAGAGTTTTCCCGGAACTAAACTCTAACACCACTTTTCCACGACCTAGGATAGGAGCGGTTGACTCGTTGCCCATATAAAGTACGAATCCATCTTGAACCGGCTCGTACGTCTTGAACCAGCCACGATCCTTGCAAACATGTATTGTTGCACCCGAGTCAATCCACCATGCCACCTCATCATCCTGCACTTAGAATGCCTCAGCTATTTTTGATACATAATACACTTTTGAGTATGAATCAAAAACAGAATTCTGACCTTGATGAGAGGATGGGCCTTGATCCTTAGACCCTTGCCCAAAACGGTTTTGTTGCGTTTTATTCTTATCCTTTGCTGCCCGACAATCACGTTTGAAGTGACCCGGCTTGTTACAAATCCAACAAACGCTCTTGAATCGTTTGTTAGATCCATCATTGGTGTTGTTAGTAAAGGGGCGTTTCTTCCCCTTGTTCTTCATCTTAGAACTCCCACTCTCCTCCATCATATTGATTGAAGAAGTTTCAGCCTCCTTATCTTTGGGTTTTCCACCCTCTTGCACCCTTAGAGATTCCTCTATGCGCAAATGGCTACCAAGTTGTACAAGAGACAACTCTTCCTTTTTGTGTTTTAACATGCTCCTAAAATCTTTCCACGAAGGCGGTAACTTGTCGATGATACACGATACCGAGATGGATTCATCCATCTTCATGTTGTGTTGAGCGAATTGGCCTAGGATGCGAAGTAATTCATTGTATTGCTCCATTACTGGCCTTGAATCGGACATCTTGTAATTATTAAAATCACTCACAAGGAACTTCTTACTAGAAGCATCCTCGGCCATGTACTTCGATTTCAACGCATCCCATAGTTCCTTTGCGGATTCGACATTTTGATAGACATCAAAGAGAGAATCAGACATACCGTTGAGAATGTGGTCACGACATATGTAGTCATCGTTTTCGCACTTAAGTTGCTTCCTTGTCTCCTCCACGGACTCGTTCTCACCATTCTCCGACACGGTGGGCATTGGCATACTTAGAACGTGAACCACATTGAGCGTTGTGAGGAGAAAGTGCATCTTCTTTTGCCATCTTCTAAAATCAACTCCTTCAAACTTATCCAATTTGCCAAACTTTGACGTCATCTCACGCACAGAAACATTAGCCATTGTTCACCGAAAATACTCTTTAAGATTGTTGTGTATCGACGTTGTATCTCCGGGACGTAACGAACGTGAACTTGGATAGAGATTGAATCGCGCACGTAAGCACTTTCCTTAAAGAGTATTTCGACCCTTCTCAAGCCTTGGGTTACTCGAAATCCCTTCTAGGATAAGACAATCAAAGTTCTCTCTTGTTCTAGGCTAAGACACAAGAGAAACAAATAGAGCTTTTGTGTTTTGTTTTTGTGTTTTGCACTAAAGATTAAGACAATCTTTAGTCTCGTGAATCTCTCTTTTCTCCTCTTCCTTTCTCCCCTTATGACACAAGAGAAACAAAGTTTATATATGGTTCAAAAGTTGTGACGTACGTTTGCAACCGTACGTTTAAATAATAACCATAAATTGAATAGTTGCAATGGTTAATTAAATAACCGTCGGTTTACACTTAAATTTATAACATGTTCTGGCCTACATTAAGGGCCCAGAGAGTCCGTGAGAATGATGCAATTGACGGAGGAAGTTCCCCAGAAAATCCGTTACCGGAGAGATCGAGATATTGGAGATCCTTCACGGATTTTAAGAGACGACTTGAGAATCAAAATTTTCAAGTCCAACTTCATTTTCACTTTGCAATATTTTCTATCGATTTGCGTTTTCTTTATTTATTTAATAAACCGAAACTTTTACAAGAAAATGTATACGACTTTGACCAATAATTTTGCATAATCAAGTTATTCTTCCCACGACTTGAAAAACACTATTTCTTCAGAGCGTATATTATTTCTGTATATTAGACTGACGGAATACATGTGTTTGTTATATACGCAAAAGATATGAGATTAATTTGAATTTAGATCTTAACAAGCTAAAGATACTTGACCACATGTACATGTTACAGATATTGGTATACTTCAATCCGTAATTTACTCGTTCCTCTGCAGTAATTTTTGAAGCTATTTTCATTTAATTATACTAATCAATGGATGTTGCGTATAGCACAAGTAACAAGATTAGAGATGTTGTTGTTACCTAAGTCTTGAAGAGGTGGTCCTGTTGTTCTTGTGGAAGTTAAAAGATTTAAGACTTTGGTTTGTTTAAGCGACCAAAATTTCTATAATGCTCTGATCGATTTGTTTCCTATGATTCATTTCCTCAAACAATTTCTTCCGAGGTTCTTGTCTTTCAAGAGGTTGGTGAGGAAGTGAATCCACTGAAAGTGAAGTATTCGTTTTTAGGATAATCTTTATAAAGCTCCTCTGTCCCGAAAACGCATACATGAGAACTCTGTTCTAATAATACATCCGATCATGTTCTTCTCTTTGCAACTAGGTATTGTTGCGTTAGAGTTTCTTTGCTCATACAACTATCCCAAAAAACATAAAACAGAGAAGAACGTTTGAAGAAAAAAGTGATTCTGAAAACCTTCAAAAACAATCCAATCACTAGAATAGTCCTTAAAGATTTTTTTGTTGTATAAAGCCAAGAAACGCTAAATACAAAATCACAGTTTATGGTTTTATTTAAATGACAAAAATACCGTTCTTCTAAGTTTAAATTTATTTTTCTTAATGATTCAACAATTTCATCCAATTCCTCATTTTTAACCTACAAATCAAGTGTGTGGAATTCGCTAAATAAAAAGTGTTAAAAACACTACATATTTTCACTAACACAAATCGTTGTTTTGAAGCTTCTTCAAATCTTAAAATTACTTTATTCGTTATTAGTACATATATTTTTTTTTTGATCACCCAACTGTCACATTAAATCCAAATACTAATTGTAGTTTTCTTGCCGCTATACTTTACAAGTAGAAAGCGGAGAGCCACAAAGGCAGTCGTTTCCCGCAAACGCACTGGCTGGGAACTTTGTCGCTGGAAGTTTTCCGCAAAGATGGTTTTGACTCACGTTCAATGTCTTCAGTCCGGCCACTGTCGCCGGCACCTTCCCGAATATCAAGTTCCTTGACAAATCCAAGGTTTCAAGCCTCTCCACAAACGTCAGCTTCCCCAAATCAAACCGGAGTTTGTTCCCTGCTGCTCGGAAATCTCTCAGATACTTCATCTGGTTGAGGAACCTAGCCGGACTTCCTGAGATCTCGTTTTCAGACAGATCAATGTAGTGGTAGTAGTAGGTTCCTGCTAGCTTCCAATTATCTAAGCTTATGTTGATCCCACATTTTGCCAGCTTCAACGAGTAGATGAACGGTGACGATATCATCCATTTCGGAATCGTTTCCAGATGAAACTTGTTGTACGACAAATCCAGAGATTCAATGCCGTCAATGCTATTCAAGACAGGGAATGCACCGGTTAGATGATTGTGGGAGAGATCAAGAATGGTAATGTTGGTCAAATTGGTGAAACTCATCGGCACGACCCCTGAGTAATGATTCTTGGAGAGAATCAATGTGGAGAGAGCCTCAAATCTTGATAAATAGTTTGGGATCGTCCCCGAAAGATTGTTCTGGCCCAGATTGAGGATTGTGAGAGTCAATGAGAGAGATGCAATCGACGGAGGTAGTTTCCCGGAGAATTTGTTGCGGGAGAGATCGATTGACTGTAGCTCTGTCATGAATTTAAAAATATTTGGGATGGTGCCAGAGAGGCGGTTGTTGCTGAGATTAAGCCAAGATAACCGTGTCAAGTTGGATATCGAACTCGGAATCAGACCGGTGAACCGGTTTCCGTCGATAAGTAACTTTTCCAACCGACTTAGCTGACCGATGTTGGCTGGAAGGGGACCGGAGAGAAGGCTACCTTGGATGTAAACATACTTTAGCTTTGGTAATTTGAAAAGGAATTGAGGAAAAGGTCCAGTGATCTTTCGAAGAGAGGTGAGGTAAATCCCCTGGAGGTGTTGAAGTTTGGCCAGCATCGGCGAGATAGTGCCCGAGAGAAAGGCTCGGCTATAAATGAAATCTCCGTACACTCTTAGTTCTGTGACGCGGTCGCTGTTGATACAAATGACACCGCTCCAGGAGCAGCAGTCAGTACCATTTTTCCAGGAGTCGAGAATGCCCGAAGGATCTTTGGTTATACCCGATTTGAAACCTAGAAGACCCGCTTCGTCATCAGGATGACACGTGGCAGCTCCGGTGGAACTTAAACACCGGAGAAAGATAGCACCTAAGGTGAAAATAAAGGAGCAAGTGTTCATGGTGGTATTGTGTGTTTGTGTGGTGGGATTGAGAGAAGCCTTTGGTACCTATGTATAGAGGACGGGAGCGAGACGACTTGAGAGCTGCAAAGTCATAGGTTTAGATTTAAATTCATTCTTTGCATTTTCTATTTCTAGTAACACTTTTTTTTTGTTTAATAAATGAGTTTGACTGATCCATTTGCATGTGGCAGTGATTAGTAGTATCCGTAATTAGTGGAATTATAATCATGGTCGAATTTATCATTCCTACGACTATCTTGAACACTCTTTCTAGTTGCTATAGAATATTTTTGTATATTATTATACTGAACGAACACATTAGATATGAAATTTTAGCAAAGTAAAGAGACTATTGATGACCATTGGTAAGCGCTCCTACTCTGCGGTAATTCTTGAATCTATTAACCTGCGATTTTCATTCTTGTGGAAGATTTTAAGACATCTTTGTAAGCCAATGGTTGTTGCGTAGAACACAAGTAACAAAATTTGAGATGAGGTTGTTACCAGAGTCTTGAAGAGGTTCTCTTGTTGTTATTGCGGAAGTTAAGAAATTTAAGACATTGGTTTTGGCAGAAATCTCTATAATGCTCTGGTCGATCTGTTTCCTATGATTCATTTTAATTAACGTTATCTATATAACTAGGTTATGAACCCATGCGATGTCGCGGAGGAACTCATTTTCAACAAATATATTTGATTGTGTTTATGTATTAACTTATTATGATAATATATTCAAATATTTGAATTATTACATAAAATTAACTATGTTTTAAAATTATATCGTAAATATTTTCCAAAGATGTTAAAACAAATTATAAATAAAAAATGTAAAAAATGAGAATAATGATTAAAAACACTTTTGAAACATTTTTTATGAATGTAAAATTATTTATAAGTGACAAAATACATAACAAAGAGTTATAATATAGAGATGAGAAATTCTAGCCAGTCAAAACCCAAAAATTCGGATGGAGTCGGTACTCAACATGACTTGTGGGTGACTAAGAACTTCGCCCGAGAATTAGTATTTTTTGTTTGTCCACTGTTCTATAAATATAAAATTAATATTTATTCTATTATACATATTCGAGAAAATATAAAATTTGATGACGTAAATTACATATTTAACCAACAAATAAACATTTACAAGATCTGATAAATTTATATTTATATTGATAAATTAACTGAGTAAAAAGCTTCTTCCTTAAATATTCATGTGACCAATTGGAATCATTGTTTTTTTCCAAATAAAGTAGATGATTTCTGAATTACTATACCATTTGAAACGGTTTATTTGACGCTTACCACATTTAAAGCGCCCAATCACAAGCGTCACAAGAAGATATCTTCTCATCTTCGGACTTTGTAATAGTGTTAACGCATCATCAATATTTCGTTGTATACAACCCATATATATTGCCTTAAGCTAGAAAGCATCATTGTTACCATATAAAATAGTTAAATAAAAAAATTCATTGTAGAATCCGTCCAATTCTAAAAAACAAATTGTTGGTATTTTCAATAGAATTTTATATTTAAAGTTGATTAAAACTTCTCCATTTTTATAATCATTCAAAAAAACTTTGGATAGATCAAGAATGAGAAAATTTTTTGTAATATCAAAATGACGTATGTTTAGAAATAGTGTAGAGAATAAAGAATTTGGAGCTATTTTACAGATTATTTTTTTGGATTCATCATGAAACAAATAATCTATGTTAAAGAACAAAAATTTGAGAACTACTTAGGAAGAAGGACAAATATATAGAGTTCAAAAATCACGAACATTTAAATAGACAACTATTCATACAAAAAGTTCTGACGAAAAAATGCAATGAAATATAGTGAACAGACGTAACTTTTAATGAATAGATGCAACTTTAAAGACACAACCGTAAACTGAAAAACTAAAACTATAATTGAACAAATAGAACTGTCCCATAAAAATAACCGTCAATATTTTAACGAAAAGATGCGATAAAAAGACATAACTTCGAAAAAATAACCGTCCGTATTTTAACGAAAAGTTGCGATAAAAAGACGGATGCGAAAAAAGTAACCGTCAATTTAACAGGAAGTGCGATAAAAAGACACAACCAAAAAAATAGCCGTCAACGAAAAAATAAACGTCAAAATTTTAACGAAGAGTTGCGAAAAAAAGACACAACCGAAAAAAAATAACTGTCAATATTTTAACGCAAAGTTACGATAAAAAATACAACCGAAAAAAGTAATAGTCAATATTGTAACGGAAAGCTACGATATAAAGATACAACAAAAAAAATAACCGTCAACGAAAAAGTAACCGTAAATATTTTAACGAAAAGTTGCGATAAGTAGACAAAACCGAGAAAAAATAACCGTCAATATTTAACGGAAAGTTGCGATAAAAAGACACAAAAGAAAAAAGTAACAGTCAATATTTTAACGGAAAGTTACGATAAAAATATACAACCAAAAAAATAACCATTAACGAAAAAAGTAACCGTCAATATTTTAACGAAGAGTTACGATAAAAAGACACAACCGTGAAAAAATAACCGTCAATATTTTAACAGAAAGTTGCGATAAAAAGACAACCGAGAAAAAATAACCGTGAATATTTTAACGGAAAGTTGCGATAAAAAGACACAAACGAAAAAAGTAACCGTCAATATTTTAACGGAGAGTTACGAAAAAAATACACCACCAAAAAAATAACTGTCAACGAAAAAGTAACTGTCAATATTTTAACAAAAAGTTGCGATAAAAAGACACAACCGAGAAATAATAATCGTCAATATTTTAACGAAGAGTTGCGATAAAAAGACGCAAACGAAAAAAAAGCGTCAATATTTTAATGGAAATTTGCGATAAAAAGACACAACCGAGAAAAAATAACCGTCAATATTTTAACGGAAAGTTGCGATAAAAAGACAGAAATGAAAAAAGTAATTGTCAATATTTTAACGAAAAGTTGCGATTAAAAGACATAACCGAGAAAAAATAACTGTCAATATTTTAACGGAAAATTGTGATAAAAAGACACAAACGAAAAAAGTAACCGCCAATATTTTACGGAAAGTTGCAATAAAAAGATACAACCGAAAATAACTGTCAACAAAAAAATTAACCCTCAATATTTCAACGAAAAGATGCATTAAAAAGACACAACCGTAAACAAATAACCGTAAATATTTCAACGAAAATATGCGAGAAATAGACACAATCGAGAAAAAAAAACCCATAAATATTTAAATGAAAGGTTGCGATAAAAAGACGCAACCGTTCAGAGGTGCAAAAGACATTTATTGAAATTGCTATTATATATAGATTATATTTATAAGCTACATATAATAAAACATTTAGTAGAGAAATATTTTTCTTTAAGGATGTGTCAAATATGATATTATCTATTTTAATTAGCGTTATTTACATACTTATATTTATATGCTATATACAAAAAAAAATTTAGTAGGCAAATATTTTTCCTAAGGATGCATAATTTATCAATATTTTAAATTTAAATAATTACCATAACATCTTATATATATAAATCATCCATTTTTTGTTTACTTTCTTTTATTTAATATCCCAAATTTATTCTATAACTTCTATTTTTTCTTTCTTTTTTATTGTTGTTTATATGCTTACATCACAACACAATACACACACCACGAAATAAACTTTTCGGTAGAAAAGGAGGTGCGGCTCGGCGAGTATCTCTGGAATCGGAATATATTCACCGAGACTCGAACGAACTGATGCGCATCTACCTCTCGACCGAACGGTTATATCTGATGGATGGAACAATGAAGTGATCATATCGACGATTCGACGAAGTATTCAGATCGATCGTTCGAATGATTGATGTTCAATCAGAGAAAAAAAAATAATATTATGCATATGTTTTGCTTATTTTTTTTATTTTTTTTTATTTTTTTAATTTTTTTTCCATAGTTCATTAATCAGAAACACATAGAAAAATGCTACCATATTGTGACATTCATCCTTATCCTTAGAAGTCAAAACAATTGGAGAAATAGGTGTGTTGAGACATAAAAAAAAAGAATAGAGATTTGGTGTTGATATAGTGTAAGAGAATATTATTCCAAAATGGAATTTATAAAAAAGTTGAATGCTATTATGGATCAATAAAATTTTAAAAGAACGCGTGCTATATATATGGAGATATGGTTTCTTACGATTCATTCCACGTGAAGAATCTCTCTACCAAATTCCTGACAAAGGAAGCACCACGGTATCGTTTCTCTTAATGTATGAATAGAGTGTTACGAACATAACAACTATTCTAAAAAACTTACAAATTATTAACTTGGTCGCAATCACCATTAGGAATCGAACTTTGAAGAGTAAAGTTGTTATAAGATAAATCTCTGCGCACATCAAGAGAAAACAAACATCATTGAACCACCACATTGGAAGTTAGAGATTAAAGACATAGATATATCTCTACACGTCAAGAGAAAACAAATATCATTGAATAAGCACAATGGTTCCCATAGAGATTTATGTTTCTTTCAATGATTCATTTGGAATTCCCCCTGTCAGCTAGTTTCCAGTCAAGAAACTGATAGGAAATTATTCAAAATTATCTTAGTGAGAAGAGAAGAAAAGATCTTCTAATTTAAACTAATGTTCAAGTACTTACACGAAATCACCTGTCTTCAAATTGGCCAATGACGAAGAAATCTTGCCAGTTAAGAAATTAAAACTGAGGTCACTACACACCAAAAAAAAAACACAAATTGTAAACCGATTATGGGGCATAAAGATCCAGTTTATCTTAAGCAAAAAAAAAATCCTTGGCCAATATATAAACTCTGGAAGTTTCCCCTTTATGTTGCATCTCCTCAATTGCCTGCATCCAAGATGGACGAAGTATTCAGATCGATCGTTGAATGATTGATGTTCAATCGGAGAAAACAAAATACAATATTATGCTTATGTTTTACTTATTTTTTTCTTATTTTTTTCCTTTTTTTTAATTTTTTTTCCATAGTTCATTAATCTGAAACACATAGAAA